AAAAAATGATATTTCGTTTAAGAATATAATATTTTAATGAAATAAAAAATCCATAAAATTAAATAAGTACGAATATTAAATCTAAAGAAAGTATTTTCTCTGAAAAAACAGTATAAGAAGTTTAAGAAATATATAATAAGATAAATTCTAGTATTAATGACTGCCACTAACAAGTACTATTCTAAGTACTATTCTATAAGCATTATTGATGTAAAATATTACTGAATTTGAAATATAAGTAACAAAAATAACTAGTAAATAAATAAAAAATATTATATTATATTCGTTATATTTTTTAAATAGTGCAGCAATATTGCTAAAGTAATATTGCAAATTAATGTCACTGCAATATTTCTGCAACATTGCACTGCAATATGCAATCTTGCAACTTTGTAGCAATGTTGCTGCAAGCTTCTGTACTGTATGGGAATGCTGCAATCCTAAGCAAATACGAGTAAATCGTAAAGTCGTAGTCGTTACGAATCAATCGTAATGTTGGTAAAATTCATAAACCGTAACTTTATTGACAACTTGTAGTTAGTCGTATTTACGAGAAATCGTAGATGTTTAGGAGTTATCGTATGACATATAGTCCGCATAAAATTGCAGATCTACTCATAAGTTCTTACGAGAACATTCTTACTCATAAGTTCGTACGAGTTTTATGATTTACGTTCTTACAAAAACAAGTTTTTACGAGAATACATTACGAGTTTTATAATTTTATTTAGAATTACATAACTATCAGGTTGATTAATAAGTCCTTAGAATTAAAATGAAAAAAACATTTTGTTAGTAAAACTTAACTTTATTCTTCAATAATATTGATAATTCTTCATAATATCCTTTTAGCTCAATACACCGAGTTTCTAGCTTCTTTAAGTCTTCCAAATAATAAGAAGTTTTTAAACCGCCAAAATATGCGTCTGTTTCCCATTCAACCTCTTTATTTGAAGCAAATCTCTTTCCCTGGAATCATCTTTTGAGATTTGGAAACGGGTAGAAGTCATAAGGGGCCAGATCTGGAGAATACGGTGGATGTGAGAGCAATTCATATCTCAATTCGTTCAATTTTGTCATTGCTTTTACTGATTTGTGAGCTGGTGCATTGTCTTCATGAAAGAGAATTTTTTTCTTTGTTAAATGAGACCGTTTTTTCTTGATTTCATCATTCAATCGGTCCAACAATGATGATAATATTCTCTTGTGATTGTTCTTCCTTTTTCAAAATAATCGATGAGGATTGTTCCATGTGCATCCCAAAACACAGTGACTAGAATCTTTTCAGCCAATTGTTGCGTCTTTGATCGCTTCGGAGCACTTCCACCCTTTGGAATCTATTGTGCCGACTGTTGTTTCGATTTAGGTGTATAATGGTGGATCCATGATTCATCAACGGTTATGTATCGACGCAAAAATTCCTTTGATTTGCACCTAAACATGTCTAAACAATGCTGAGAAGTGCGAATTCGTTCACGTTTTTGATCGATTGTTGGCAATCGCGGCACCTATCTTGCAGTTAGCTTTCTCATACCCAAATATTCATATAGGATATTGAACACACGTTCAAATAAGATGCCCACAACCGCAGCTAGTTCACGCAATTTCACTTTGGGATCATCTAACATCATGGATATCATGGATTTTTTTCACTCATTTGTGATATAATCACCTCATTTGGACAACCACTGCGTCGTGCATCCGATGTGCTGGTACGACCACGTTTAAACTCAACAATCCAGTTATATATGGTTGCATTCGACGGAGTCGAACCCAAAGTTTTTTGGAAGTCCTCAATCATTTCTTTCAGTTGCAAACCTTTCAAATAGGAATACTTAATCACTGCACGAATTTCAGTTTTTTCCATGTTTACAAAATATCAGAGGTTATGTGATTTCTGTGGCTGTCACAAATATACTGATTGTCATAGTTGTCTGCAACTGTGTAGTGAGAAGTTTGAAGGTTGGCACTATTGGAAATTCACGGCGCATTGGAGGTGGCAACACATGTGTCACTAAGGAGGAGGCATTCCTGTGACTATTGGACTAGTGGCATTAATGTGTCATTCTAAAGACTTATCAATCAACCTGGTAAAAGTTGTCAGTAAAGTTACGGTTTGTAAATTTTACCAACATTAAGATTGATTCGTAAGCTACGACTTTACGATTTTATGATTTACTTGTATATTTGCTTAGAATTGCAGCATAAAATTATAATCTTACGATATGAAGTTATATCCTTTTAGAGCATATAATGTATTTTTTACAGAAAGCTATAAATATAACATGATGTGAGATTATCAAGGCAATTTGTGTAATATTGTATTAATTGCAATGTTGCTAGATATCCCATTGGAAGCCACCAGCTTCCATACTTCGCGAAATGTTGCGAAGATATGCTCGGTGTGGAATGGGAATCGAGGAATACTGCTCAAGATATACCGACGAACTTGCCGGCGCCGATCCTTTCGACGGAACTACTGAACGCGATCAAAGAGCTAAAGATCGACTACACCACTGACAATGTCGATCGTCTGATACGAGCACACGGCCATACGATGCGAGAGATTTTTCTTTTGAAGTTCGGCAGTTTCGAAAGAATACCAGACGTTGTCCTGTGGCCAAGTAAGTTGATATTTTGCAATTGTTGTTTTACAAAACCCACAATAGTATCCACCTCTAACTTTGATATTATCGACATATGAATATCTGTAGGCCTATGCTATAATATTTTAATGCATACGTAACCTTTACGTTACATGAGTTACGTGCCATCGCGCAGATATAGCATATAACAGTTGTATAACGACTAGGGGGCTGCTTCGTCTACACGCAAAAAAGGATTAGCCGCAGAAGCTAAGATATAATTGTGGCAGCTAAGATATGTCGTTGAAGTAGGAACAGTTAATGTGTTATAGAAGCGCGTTGTACTACAGAAGCTAAATTTATTGGATTAATTGAACTTAGGCACTGCAGCAAAAAATATTCGCTGCTAAATATACAAACAATAGTAATAAAATTATATTCCTACTTCTAAGAATTTTATTATTTTTTTAACTGAAATATTTCTTAAAGTGTTGTAGTGAATGATTATTTTTTCTAAAGTGTTAGCCATCCCTTATAGAAATATCATACTAAGAATCATTGATAATTACTTATTTTCAGTATTAAAAATACTGGATAATAAGTAATTATCAATGATTCTTAGTATGATATTTCTATAAGGGATCTATCACATTACGATTTTACATTGTATCTCAAGAACTCACTTTTATTCAAGTGAAATTCGAATCCAGAGAGTCAATTCTGTATCTCGAAACGAAGTGAAAATTACAAAAGTGAGCACATTCACTAGGAACTGACCAATGAAATTACGGATATTCTAGTATATTTGCTCATTTTTGTAATTTTCACTTTGTTTCGAGATACAGAATCGACTCCCAGAACACTTTAGATTGTGAATTGTCTGCCCCTACACGTTACGCCATTTCTCCAATTGATAGTTCTGTTATTGTATGCATATATGCAATAACAGAACATAGGGTGTCCCAATCACCATTTTCAAACTTCGCAAAAGCGAAGTTTTAAAACTAAAACGACTAAAACTAAAATTTATGTAAATGTTTACTTTAGGGGAGTCACCTCCGATGACCTTGATCTTGACATATATTATAGAGGTTACCCTCCTGAATAATCTTCGGAAGGTTTCAGCCGTCGCTCATTGTTTGTTAAAAATTTATTAACAAAAGAAGTTTTAGAAGTTGAACATAATTTTTGCACACAGTGTACATGAAAATATGGTAAACAGCTCCGCCCTTCCCCCGCACTTCCTCCTTAAAAAACCTAACTCTAACCTAACTCATTGAAACATATGGTAAACAGTATACGTATATCCGCAAACAGTATATGCAGAGTGGGTTTCGATTGACCACGGTACGATTGGACATAGATTGTAATGATTCGTTTGACCTAGTAAATCACTAGATAATTCTTATCATCGATTGGTTCTGTCCAATAGTACCGTGGTCAATCGGAACGCTCCCGTATATGCATATCTTTTGGGTGTATATCAGTTGGACACGGGGCAATTGGACACAGTCCAATCACAAGTCGCTGTTCCAAGGGACCCTACAAATGTCTCTAATCATACGGTGCTGTGATTGGCTGTGTCCAAATGCACCGTGTCCAAGTGCACCGCTCCCTATCTTTTACCATGTTTCAGTAGATGGTTAGGTTTTTTGGGGAGAGGGGCAGGGCCCCTTCCCCGCGCATATACGTATATTGTTTACCATATTTCAGTGTATTTTATATATCAAAATTACGTTCCGTTTATAAAATTTTTTTGTTAATAACTTTTTAGTAAACAACGAACGACGGCTAAAACCTTTTGCGTGTTACTCAGGACGATAACCTTAACAACTTATGTCAAGATCAAAATCATTGAAGGTGACTCTCCTAAAGTGAACATTTACCTTATTTTTTAATAATTTTTAGGAAATACGTTCTCTTATCGGATATATAAAATTTATTTCAAAACTTTATTAAGAAAACCTGTCGCTATATAGATCGCTTGAGTCAATTTTATCATCACGGGTATAAAAATTGACATATTTTCTCGTCAGTGAACGCAGCTGATATCCAATGAAGAATTTCTTTTTGAGAAATTCTCAGAAAATAGGTTCTTATATTGGATATCGAGTGTGTCCCGATACGTATTAAAGAGGAAATATTTCAACCTTTGAGTCTTATCCAA